CTTAGCAAATATTTTTATGAACTCTAATCATGTCATGACTTTTTCCAATGAAAAACAAAAATAACTGTTTAAACCAGTGTTTCTCAAAGTGGTCCACAGACCTACTCTGAGAAGCTGCTACCCAGCTGCTCCAATTTACTTACTGGCTCTGCAGCCACGGAGCCTCACTGGCTCCGGAGCGCCGGCGCCTCACAACTCCCTTTGGCTGTGGTTCACCATTTGAGAAACAGTGATTTAAACCTTTCACCCAGCATATTCCGGTGTAAAAAGTAATGCATTCAGCTAATTGAAATAGCAGGATTGTTTATGCAAAATTTGGTATCTGCTGGAAATCACAAAGTATAACGTTATTTTGCACAAACAGATCCACAAACAAACAAACTCTTCAAAATATATAATAGATTTCCTGTCAAATTTCCCACTTTCTGGAGGTACATCATGTATCCTGCAGATCTCTATTTCAAATTTCACATAGCAACCATAGGGTGTTCTAGACTACTGGGTTTTTTCGAAAAAAGTGGCCTTTTTTTAAAAAAAACTTCTCCTGCGTCTAGACTGCTGCCGCGTTCTTTCAAAAGAAATTGAAAGAAGGTGGCAGTTTTTTCAACCGCGGAAAACCACATTTTACAAGGAATAATGCCTTTTTCCGAAAGTACTCTTTCGAAAAAAGGTGCTATGTAATGCAAAGTGTGCTTTTTTGAAAGAGAGCATCCAGACTGCCTGGGTGTTCTCTTTCGAAAAAACGGCTTGGTTTTTCAAAAGTACTGGTTGTAGTCTAGATGCTCTTTTTTGAATTAGGCTTTTTTGAAAGTATCTTTCGAAAGAGGCTTGCAGTCTAGACGTAGCCATACTGTCTAGATATCAGGAGATTTAATTCAAATAGGTGATCTGAAAAGGAGCTGATTGGATCCACTAAACCCTGTACTTCCAGGACTTTGCTCTGGAAATGCACTGTCACAGTGCAGGATTCTGCACTAGATTGATGTCTATCTAGTCTTACACTTTCTTTAGGCAGCTCTGTGTAGTTGTAATGGTGTATAGAAATGGAAGAAAGAATGCAGGTGATACCTACAGGATGAGGGATTCTATACTGGATTGCAGTGACTCTGAAAAGATCTTAAGGGTTATGGTGGATAACCAACTGAACATGAGCTTTCAGATGTAGATGGGAAAACTTATGTAATCCTTGAATGTCTAAACAAGGAGTACTGAATAGGAAGATGGTATTACATCTGTATTCAGCATTAGCAAGACTCTGACTGAAGTAGCGTGTCCAGTTCTGGAGTTCCAAGGAGACTGAACCATTGGAAAGGGTTCAGAAAAGAGCTATATGAAGGATATGAGGTCTGGATATTGTGCCTTATAGTGAAAGACTAAAAAACTCAGTCTGTTTAGCTAAGTAGCGACTTGATCACAGTCTACATGGAGAGAAGATTTATAATCTAGAAGAAAAATGCAAAACAAGGTCAAATCACTGGAAGTTGAAATCAGACAAATTCAATCAGGAAATAAAATTCAAATATTTAATAATGAGAGTAATTCAATATTGTAACAATTTACAATGTATTTAGAAGATACACCATCACTTTTGACTGAATATCTTTCTAAAAGTTAATCTCATTCAACCAGAAGTTACGGGCTTTGTGCAGAAGTCACTGGGAGAAATTCTGTGATCTGCATCATGCAGGAGGTCAGATTAAATTATCACAATGGTTCCTTCTGTCCTTAAAATCTGCAAACCCATGTATCTGTATTACTTTGGAATGTGTGACCTGTTCAGTCTCTAGCCTAATAGGTCTGAATCAGAGATTGTTAGAGCACAGTCAGTAAGCACCATAATATGTTTTGCCAAATGTTATTTGACAGTGATCCTGTAATCAGAGTTCCTTTTGTAATACATATGTACAAGGGGGGAGGGTTAAAGTTACTCTTACAGTCTTTTCAGTTACCCCCACAAGTATTCTTGACTAGTTTTGATTGGGTTTTACTATGATTGTAGTATGAAAGTAGTTAACCAATTGATGGGTGGGCAGATGGGAGACTGAGATTGGTTGAATGGCTGGGGGAGACTCTGACTGAGAACAAATGCAGTGGGGAGTGTGGGGGGAGACAGATCTAATGAAGAGTCAGGGTGCAGGAGGAGCATATGGACTGACTGTGCAAGGTTAGGACAAGGAACTAGAAGGATCACTAAGGAGGGAGACTGGGACTGGGAGCTAGTGGAATGGTGTTGACTGAAGGCTGGAAGGGGTGATGACAGATCAGACAATGAGCCAGGAGACAGGGAAGAACTGGGATTGACTAGGCAAGGAGACTGGGTGATAGGCTATGGGGAAGTGGGTGTGGATAGTCAGAAGACCAGGATTTGGAGCAGAGGAGATTAGAATTGGGACAGTGAGATACACTTCCTGGACACTGAAGTATAAATAAATAATAATCACATAAACAGCACTCTATCCTGGAAATCTTCTGACTGCTATTCTTACCTACATACCTCTAGCTTCTATCCAGGACACATCACATGATCCACTGTCTATAGCCAAACCCTAAGACACAACCATATCTGCTCCAGTCCCTCAGGAAGAGACAAACACCTACATGACCACTATCAAGCATTCTTAAAACTTAAATACCCTCCCCCGGAAGAGAAGAAACAGATCGAAAGAGCCAGGCATGCTTCAGGACATGCCCAACAAGGAAAATAATGCCACTGGTCATCACCTATAGCCCACAGCTAAAACCCCGCCAGTGCATCAGGTCAGTCTATAACCTGTTGTGGAAAATGATCCCTCACTCTCACACTTTATTCGACACTTTACATCTGAGTCTAAACAAAGGATCTAGTTATCTTACCCATTACAAAGATGGCTTCCCTAATTATCACCTCTAATATCATTAGCCCACAGACATTCACCTCCCCCCCATCCTCCTTCTCTACTGAAATTTGATTTGTCCTTTTCATATGTGTTCATTTTTTTTAAATTGTATCCTTTGGTATATATGGCTGTGACTATTTTCTTCCACTATTTGATCTGAGGAAGTGGGTCTGGCCCACGAAAGCTCATCATCTAATAAACCATCTTGTTAGTCTTTAAAGTGCTACATAGTCCTGTATTTTGCTTCAGCTACACCAGACTAACACGGCTACATTTCTATTATCACTCTCACAGCCCTTGGGAGACAGGCCAGTCCTCACCTACAGACAGCCCCCCAAACTGAAGCAATTACACACCAGCAGCCACACAGTGCACCACAGAAACACTTATCAAGGAACCTATCCCTGCAACAAACCCACTGCCAACTCTGCCCACACATCTACACAAGCAACACCATCACAGGACCTACTCACATAAGCCACAACATCAGTGGCTCATCCACCTGCACATCCACTAACATGATCTATGCCATCAAGTGCCAGCAATGTCTCTCTGCCATGTATATTGGCCAAACTGGATGGTCTTCTATGCCCAAGGATAAATGGCCCCAAATCAGACATCAGGAAAGATAATATACATAAACCTGTAAGGGAACATTTTAACCTTCATAGACATTCAGTAATGGATTTGAAAGTAGCCATCCTTCTACAAAACCCAATTACAAAGGGAGACAACTGAACTGCAAATTCATTTGCAAATTCTATCAACTTAGGACTGAATAAGGATCTTAACTGGTTAATGCATTACAAAGGCAATTTCCCCTCTCTGAATATTTATATCTTTACATCAAATGCTGTGAATGATCCACTTACATCCTGACTTGATTAGCTTCATTAACACAAGCAACTTCTTCCTTGTATATACTCCTACTAATTCCACTCCAACTCATCTGATGAAGTCGGTTTTACCCACAAAAGTTTATGCCCTAATAAATCTGTTAGGGTATGTCTACACTAGCCCCTTAGTTTGAACTAGGGAGGCTAATGAGGATGACCAAAATTGCAAATGAAGCGTGGGATTTAAATATCCCTTCATTAGCATGTTCCTGGGCGGTCACCATTTTGGAAACTGACTAGCCCGGAATAACTGCCCACGTCTATAAATGGTAGTGAAACAGGATTTTGAAGTAAACCCCTTAACTCGAATTAGCTGTTAAACCTCGTTCCACGAGGAGTAACAGTTAATTCGAGTTAGGGGTTTACTTCAAAATCCTGTTTCACTACCATTTATAGACGTGGGCAGTTATTCCGGGCTAGTCAGTTTCCAAAATGGTGACCACCCAGGAACATGCTAATGAAGTGCAGGATATTTAAATCCCAGGCTTCATTTGCAATTTTGGTCACCCTCATTAGCCTCCCTAGTTCGAACTAGGGGGCTAGCGTAGACGTACCCTTAGTCTCTAAGACGTCCTCCTCTTTGTGGGATACACTGTGGAAGAACAGATGGAAGATCGTGCTCAAGGAGAGCAGAGAGTGAAGAAGTGACTAGAAGGAGACATGGTCCATAAAATAGCCTGGGGTAAATCCATGGAGGGCATTACAATTTAGGAAAACAAGTTTAATCTGTATCCTGAAGAGAGCAGGCTGCAAATGGAATTGTCTAAGGGAGAGAAGTCAGAAAGTCAGTTGATGCATGCCACCAAACAGCCATGAGATTTATTCATTACTGAGCTGGGGTCAGATTAAAGCAGTGGTCTGGTGGCAAGACACTACATATCCCTAGATATCTCTTGTCTTACTTTTGCTTGTAATAGCCAAATTTTTAAGGTGTTTTGGCATTTAGTGATGCATTTAGGTGCCGGGGTGGGGGGGTATTTTCAAATCCACCGAGGTTCAGAACTTACAACTCCAAGGAGCATCTGAACATCCCACTTCACTGGAAGAAGAAAATCTGTCCTCAAGGTCTTTGGACCAAAAACATTGTCTTGTACTTGCACATAAAGCACATTATGCCGCTATATAATATAGAAATCACATTTCCAGTCCCTGTGTTTTAGGCTTTTATTCCACAGAATGGTTTTTCCACCCTGTTTGCTTAAGGTCCTTATTCTATTCTCATCTTCAGGATACCCAAGAAGCTAGCAAGTTACAAGTGATCAGCGAACACATAGTACATGTAGATGTCTCAAGCTCTGCTCCAAGGCCTCATCAGAATTGTGACAGAAAGGTAAAGCAGCAAAATAGTTAAATGGTTGCAGATTAAACATTTGTTCCTCTTCTGCATTCATGGTACCCAAGCCATGAAGCAAACCTGCCAGACTACCCATCTAGTACTATAAAAACTGCTATGTCAGTCTCCAAGCCAAAGCTAAACACGCAATGACCACTGAAGGCAAGACACCAGTGCCTGGGAAACTAAATAAATATAAGCACACAGCTATCCATCACTGCCATCTGGAAAAGATTGGGCTGAACGTCTTCCTGTCAGGATCTGCTACAGTATTTATTTGTGTAGCTGAGCTACAGCTTCGGGGAGTTCAGCAAAATATTTGTCAATGATGATTTGGTGAGAAGATTTGAGGCCAATTGCAAGGCTACAATTAACCCCCCTATTCAAATTTGCAAAATAACTATTCCAATTAATGGCTACCTTCCCTTTTTTCCACGAAGGAGCTTCACATATGTGGAAACAACACGTGAGAGGTGATCTCATTTTGGTGCTATGTACATATGTTAACAAAACCCCAAGAATGATCCTGAGTTGGTGACATATACAGGTGTAAAGAGCTCATGATGGATGATGTTGCTTCTATGACATATATATAAACTGGATGGAAAATGCGAGCTTTTGCTTAACACAAATAATCTGACTTCTCCTTCTAATACCATAGCATTAGGAAGGTTGAAAAAGTCAATATGGAGGAGTATGAGCTATATCAGATTGGGGATGGGGGCGGAAGGACCAAAGGGAGGCTAATACCAGCCAGCTATGGTCCAGCAATAGAAGATATATTGATTACATTTTTACATGAGGCTATGAGAAATGAAAGCAGTTAAAGAAAAATATACCACAGACTATCAAGTCAGGATGAGAATGAGAAAAAAATATTCCTAACCAACCCACACTGAATTAAAACCACAAGATATCAGCTTGTGGGCAGGCTTTACCTATGCCGTATCTGTTAGGTAACACTTTAGTTCAGCCAGATAGGCATCAAATACATGTCTGAATTATGTAGAATTCCACTCTAAGATCCAGAAATTAGTGGCTCCAATCAGAGGAGACCATTCTGATTTTGCTACGAACCAAGAGAGGGGACTGATGGAGAAGGTGAGACTAAGAGGGAGATTTAGAAAGTGTCGTTCCTATAAGATACAGGTATTTTTACACAGCAACGTTATTTTGGAATAACTGACATTATTCTGAATAACAAAGAGCGTGTCTACACTGCAGGTCATTATTTCAAAATAATGTCGAGCTGGAGGACTTCTTACTCCAACTCCTGTAACCCTCATTTTACGAGGCATAAGGGAAGTCAAAGGAAGAATGTTCTTCCTTCAGCTTCTGCCGTGTAGACAGCACCTATGTGAGTGAAGAAGAAAGGGATTGCCATATTTATCAGTATGTAGGCAAGAAAAGAAAATGTTGGGAAGTAAAGAAATGTAGGGCCAATCCTTAGCTCTTTACACTATGTCCACTCATTGCTCACACAGACCAACTCCAATTGCCTCCAGTGGGAATTTGCCTGAATAAGAATAGCATAAAAGTGAGTTAGGACATCAGGGTTTGGTTACTAGTGAGTGCGGCGCAATGAATAGGAGTATGAAAACTCACTCATGTAGAAGAAGGCTGGGCACCCAGCTGGAGGAGAGTAAGGGTGACAGGAATGCACATCATTGCCTTCCAACCCCCCTAGAAAAGCCAAGAAAAGGTTAGAGCTGTCTGAAGCCATATTCACTTTGCCACATTCCCCTCTCCATGCTGACCTTCTGAGAGCAGGAGAAGGGCAGAGAGCCATGAAATGCCTCACCAGTTCCTGTGGGTCACAAGCTCTGGGGAGTGGAATTGCTATCCTTTCCATGGGGCAGCCACCCTCCCACGACTAGCCCAAGGAATGTTCATGAGGGGATCCTCACAGAGCTTTCCTGTCCCCAGAGCTTTCTCGTGCCAGAGGATGTGATCAAGCCCACTCTAATTTTAGCACAAGAGGCTAAAATTCTTCTAAGCAAATAGTTTCCAGAAAACAAGAAGCAGCCAATGTATGTCATGGGGGATTGCTCAGAGATCTGAGGTTTACAAAAATAGCTGTATTATAAATGAAAAGGATGGGAGTTAGCTAAGGTTTGAAGGGAAAAGCAAAGAATGCAGAGTGAGTTAATGCTACTAATGGGCCTAAGGGAAATAAGAGATTTTATAAATGTACCAGAGCGAAGTAGTGCTGGAGAGAGTTTAAGTCCACTAAGAAATGAAGAAGCAGATGAAATTAATGATGACTCATAATATCCAAGATCCTGAATTCATTTTTAAAATTGATCTTCCACAAGAAAATGAAAGAAAATAGGGTTGAACAACTAAGGAAACAACTATTAAAAAAAGCAGCCCATTAAGCGCAACGTATAGACAGATGGATGCTCCTTAAAGGCAAACTATTTAAAATAATTTAGAATTTTCCACTTTCTCACCCTAATTACAGCGAGCATTGGCACTCATATTTTATAGATTGAGACACTGAATCATAGAAGCAGGTCAAGTGATTAAATCAGAAAGAGAGAGGACCAGTGACTGAGCCAGGAATAGAACCTAGTCATTGAACATTTTTAAATCTGCAAGAGTGAGTAATTTGCACCAAAGAGATTTTATAAAATTGGCCAAGAGACTCTCTCAATCACTCATATTGATTTGTGACAAATTTTGGAATACAGAGAAAGTTCTAGTGCACTGGAAAAAGCGAGTGTTGTGCAAATATTTAAAAAGGGAAAATGGACCAAGATGACCATAACCCAGTTAGCCTGAAATCAATCCTGGGCAAAATCATGAAATGGCCAATGCGGGCTGCAATTAGGAAATACATAAGGGATGTCTGCATAATTCCTACCAATCAACATGATTTTATGGAAATCAGGTCTTGTCAAACAAAGTTGCTCCTGTTTTTTAAGGAGATTGCAAGTTTGGTTTATAAAGATAATTAGAAAGTAAAAAAAAAATGGTGATAATGATACCGACTTTCTAGGGAGAGTATTTTGAGAGCTACAGTTGAAAAGTGTCATGGGATAGCAGTAGCAGCAGCAGGAGGAGGCTTCTAATCGTGCTTTAGAGTTAGCTAATCTAGCATGGAAAAATAATGCCGGGGGGGAGGGAAATATAGTAAGGGATGAATTTAATACATGTTTCAAACAAAGCATATCAGAGTTACAGAGTTACATGACATGACGTAGAGAAATTAAATGGTGCAGCAAAGGGAGAAATATATATGCTTTTCAAGGAGATATAGCAGATAGTACTGATTAAGCAGGATCTGAATGAACTGTCCCCTGACAACTGAGAGCAGAAGAGGTGGGCCCACAGACCGAGGTGAGGAGGGCAAAAGAAGCAACTGCCTCTGGGCCCGGTGACTCTAAAGTAGGAGTGGGGAACCTGCTGGCCCACAGAAAAATCAGTCGGGGCCGCTCACTAGTGAGAAGCAAAGAAACAAAAAAAAGAAAACCAACGCAAAACAAAAACCCTTCACTGACATGGCACCGGACTGAGAAGCAGAAAGACACTTCCCATATTCCCCTTGCACACCAGAGCTTGGGGGGACCCAGACCAGTAGATTTTGTGTGCTCCAGCCCCACAGAGGGTGGGCTGGAGTGCCAGCATGGGCTCCCCAATGCTGGGCGGGGGGGGGGGGGTGGGAGCTGGATTCAAGCAAGCTGGGGGCCACATCTAGCCCTGGGACCTTGGTTCCCCACCGTTGGTCTAAAGGGATCTTGGTTCCCAGTGCCAGCCGGCATTGTCACAGCTAAGGCAGCAGCAGTGCCCAGAGCCCCAGGTCCTTCAAATCACCACTGGAGCGCCATGCAGCAGGCTCTGGGCAGATCTTTGGGCCACATGGAGAGGAGGGGGTGCCACACAGTGCACTTCAGGCAGGGCTGGGGGGGATTCACCGTGGTCTGGGCAACACTGAGGGCTGGCTGTCCCCGCTCCAGGAGCACAGAACCAGGCTCCCACCCCACCTTGCCCAGGGGCCCAACAAGGCTGTTGGCTCCCCAGAGGAGCTCAGGAGCCAGACTTGTCCACATGTCTCTGTGCTCAGCAGATGAGGCTACTTTGCACAAATGCTCACTTTTGGCTGCTGTTGGATCACAAGGCATTTTGCGATTGGGAGCAGAGTTATTAGCTTGAGTCTGACTCATGATTTTTTAGCTTTTTTAGTTGGCATTACTGTAAGATGAAGATACTAGGTTAGACATTTTTAAATCAGTAGGTTTGGATAACTTGCATCCAAGAGTTTTAAAAGAGCTGTCTGAGGAGCTCACTGTATGTTAATGGTGATTTTTAATCAGTCTTAGAACATGTTGTTTAGAAGACTAAAAGAAAGCTAACATTGTATAAATATTTTAAAAGGATAAATGGTAATTATTGTCCTATTACTTTGTCATTCCAGATAAGATAATGAAGTGGCTGGCACCAGACTAAATTAATAAAAAATTTAAATGGGTCATATAATTAATACCTATCAACATGTGTCAAAAATAGATTGTCAAACGAACAACACTTTTTTATGAGATTACAAGTTTGATTGATAAAGGTAGAATCTACTATATACTTTAGAGAGTTTGTGTGACTGTCTGTGTGTCCATCCATCTGTGAGTCCATTTGTTCACAAACTCCTCCTAAACTAGAAGAACTAGGACCACCAAATTTGGTAGGCAGCTGGGGTTGTCCTCTCTCCCTGGGGCAGCCTGTGTACTGAACCCTTCGTCCTCAGACCCTCCCCAGAACAATGATTTGAATGAAGAAAAACAAAACTTACTTGAGTTAAGGACCCGAACAATGCTGGGTAAATCTTCTTGTCTTTTAAATCTTTAACCTCCCTGGGCGCTCATTAAGAGATCTACAAGTTGCTGTTTTGTTTCAGACCAATTGCACAAGCCAAACACACAGAGAAGGATTGGAACTCTACTTCATTCTCAAGTTTAACTCTCATGCAAATGGTCTAAATCACGATATCGGATGGCTCGCACATTATCAACCAACCAACCAACGAAGGTGCCAATGGTTCTTGATGCCGGTGTAAAATCTAGTGTTAGTACTCTTCCTTTCCTAGTGCAAACTAATGGTTCTTATCAGTCTCTTTTAACTATTTACTCTTTGAGGTGCTAATAGACTATTTGTTGGTTTTTAAGTTTTTCCTGTTACAGACTGGCTTGGCTGTCCCTTTGAACTTATCTACCCAATGTCCTCTTTTCCCCCCTCCAATTTTTTTCTCTCCTACTCTCCTCTCCCTTCTTCCCTTATTTAATTCATGGTTCTGGACTTCCAACACTCCAGTCATCTGAAGAAGTGGGCTGTGCCCACGAAAGCTCATGATCCCTGTTGCATAAAAAAAGCCTTCGCCTGAGCTTACTTGATTTTACACATGCATTTTCTGAAACTACACTAACTGTAAGGTCTAAGTTTTTAAACTGCAACTCATTGTAATCTTTGTCAAACTTTGCAACTTGCTGTAATCCTTGTAAAATGTTGCAACTTTGTCTTTATAAATTCAGAAACTCGCTGTAAGCTGCAACTTTGTAACCTTTGTAACTCTCAGCCTCTTTGCCTGTAACTTGCTCTAAATTGAATTCTCCCCTGAGTGAATGAAGAGAGGTGTGTGTGTGTGTGTGTGTGTGTGTGTGTGTGTGTTTTGTGTTTGTGTTTGAAGCTGCAAGGCTAAGGCTGGAGCACATGGTGATGAATCATTAGAGACTGCTGCTTTGCTGGATAAAGGGAAGTCTGGGCATGCTCCCTGCTGATGAGGTGGATGAGTCACAGGGACCATACAGACACAATATAAAGGAGAGGGAGAACATGAGAGTTTCTCTCTTTCTTCCCCTGCTCCTGTGAAATTCCTCTCTACAGCCAGGCTGTGTCTAGACTGGCCAGTTTTTCCAGAAAATCAGCCGCTTTTCTGGAAAAATTTGCCAGCTGTCAACATGAGAGTTTCTCTCTTTCTTCCCCTGCTCCTGTGAACTTCCTCTCTCCAGCCAGGCTGTGTCTAGACTGGCCAGTTTTTCCAGAAAATCAGCCGCTTTTCTGGAAAAACCTGCCAGCTGTCTACACTGGCTGCTTGAATTTCTGCAAAAGCACTGACTTCCTACTGTAAGAAATCAGTGCTTTTTGCGGAAATACTATGCTGTTCCCATTCAGGCAAAAGTCCCTTTTGTGCAAAACTTTTGCACAAAAGGGCCAGTGTAGACAGCTGAGATTTGTTTTGCGCAAAAAAGCCCCAGTCGTGAAAATGGTGATCGGGGCTTTTTTGCGCAAAAGCGCGTCTAGATTGGCTACGGACGCTTTTCTGCAAAAAGTGCTTTTGCGGAAAAGCATCCATGCCAATCTAGATGCTCTTTTCCGAAAATGCTTTTAACGGAAAACTTTTCCGTTAAAAGCATTTCCGGAAAATCATGCCAGTCTAGACGTAGGCCCAGTGTCTCTCTTAACCAGCTCCCCAGCCATGATCAACAGACAGACCCTCCAGAATCTATGTGCCTTGGCTTCTTCTGCAACCTATATGCCTATGTAAGTGTGTGAATGCCTGAGGGCAGGAATGAATGTGTGTGAACGAGTGAATGAATGGAGGTGTGTGTGTGTGTTTGTGTGTCTGAGAGAGAAATAGCTGGTCCCTCTTTAGTTTCAACCTTTGGTGGCAGCAGCTCTATCTTCTTTAGTTTATCAGTAAACCCATGCTAGTGTAACCCTGAGGGTATGTCTAGACTGCTTCCCTCTGTCAGCAGAGGGATGCAGATTAGACAGGTCAACATTGCAAATGAGACAGAGATTTAAATATCCTGCACCTAATTTGTATAAAAATGGCCACCGTGTTTTGCCAACTAAGCACCTTGTCAGCAAAAAGTGGCAGTCTAGAGGGGGATCTGTCGAGAAAGAAAGCCTTTTTTGACAGATCCCTTATGCCTCCTACAAGGAGGTTTACAGGATCTGTCAAAAAAGGCTTTCTTCTCAACAGATCCCCCTCTAGACTGCCACTTTTTGCTGACAAAGTGCTGAGTTGGCAAAACGCGGTGGCTATTCTTATTCATATTAGGTGCTGGATATTTAAATCCCTGCCTCATTTGCAATGTCAACCTGCCTAATCTGCATCCCTCTGCTGACAGAGGGATGCAGTGTAGACATACCCTGAGTGATCTCCAGTGGGAATTTTTTGGGGTAACAATCCCATCTACATGTTAGTCTTTAAAGTGCTGCCAGACTATTTGTTGTTTTTTAAGTTTTTCCTGTTACAGACTAGCTTGGCTACCCCTCTGAAACCGTTGAAATATACTTAGACTCCTGAAAGATGTTTGACTTGGTATTGCATGTGATTTTAATTTTAAAAACAGAAAAGATATCCAATTATTACTGCACACATTAAATAGATTGAAAGCAGGTTAACACATATGTCTCAAAATGTAACTGTAAACAGGCAAAATCATCACAGAACAGGTGTCTTTCCTGTGTGTTCTTGGTCCTACACTGTAACTTTTTTATCAATGGCCTGAGAGAAAACACAACATCACTACAGATAAAGTTTTCAGGTAATATAAAAATTGGGGAATGGTATACAATGTCTCTGATATAGAGCTGGAATTGGATTGCTAAACTGGGTTCAAGCAAACAATATATATTTTAATATTGCTACATTTACTATATACATCTAGGAACAAAGAATGTAGGCCGTGCTTACAGGATGGGGGAGTCTATCCTGGGAAGCAGTGAGTCTGAAAAAAATTTAGGATCCCGATGGATAATCAGCTGAACATAATCTCTCAGTGCCATGCTGTGGCCATAAGGGCTACTGCAGTCCTTGGTACATAAATAGTGAATATCAAGTGGGCTAGAGAGGTAATTTTGCCTCTGTTTTTGGCGCTGGTGTGACTGCTGCTGGAATACTTTGTCCAGATTCTGGAAGGATGTTGATAAACTGTAGAAGGCACAGAGAAGAGACAGAAGAATGACTAAAGGAATCAAAAACATGCCTTACAGTGATAGCCTCATAGAGCTCAAACTATTTAGCACAACAAAGAAAAAATCAAGGGGCGATTTGATTACTGTCTGTAAATATCTAGATAGGGGCCAAATATTTAATAATAGGCTCTTCAGTCGAGCAGAGAAAGGTATGACATGATCCAATGGATGGAAACTGAAGCTAGACAAATTGAGGCTGGAAAGACAGTGTAAAGTTTCTGAGGTTTGTGGTGGATTCTCCATTATGGACCATTTTAAAATGAAGACTGGTAAATTTTTTTCAAAAAGATCTGCGCTCAGAATTACTTTGGGGGAGTTCAATGGGCAGTGATATACCAGAGGTCAGGTGACAAGATGATTCCTTCTGACCTTGGAATTTCTGAATATGCCTGGAGATACACAGAATCAATAGAAGATTTTTTCTTTGATTTCACAAGGTGTAAAACTGGGCCCATACTTTGAATCTCAGATTATTTGGATTGACCTCTATTAATACAATTAGTTATTTTTTCAGATTTGCTGCACATAGCAATATGGTAAGGAGGGAGGGATTTGTGAAATCTTCTTACTATATATTTTAGAAATGTGCATTTGTCTGCCTGCCTGTCTGCATCTGGAGTCCATTTGTTCATGAATTCCTCCAACACAGTAAGAGCTAGGATCACCAAATTTGGTACGCAGCTTGCTCTTATCTTAACTTAAAGCAAAGTCAGGATTTGGTTGTGCTAGAATGGGATGTTCCTGGAATTTGATTGTTTCTCATAAAATAGAAAGGGAGGGGGTCTGTTTGGAGGGAGTTATACTACAGAATGACCATAAGGTGGCAGCAAGGGGCCAGAGATGAGGACCAGGACAGCTATGACCCCACTGAGCCAGGAGGCATGGAGAAAGGGACAGGTATCTACTATATTTTTCAGAGAGTATGTCTGTTTCTGTGTCTGTTTGTGAGTCTGTCTGTCCCCCCAGCTGGGGGACATTTACTCCTCTCCTAACTGTGCCTGCTGCTGCAGCATGGAGAGATGCTTCTCACCTGGTTCCAACCTGCTGTGGTGAGAGAGGTCTAGGGTTGTCTTCTCTTCTTGGGGCAGCCTGCTTACTGAACCCTTCATCCCTAGCCCCACCCTAGAGCAATGATTTAAATAAAGAAAAACAAAACCTATTTGAGTTAGGGACCTGAGCAACACCAGCTAAATCTAGTTTAAAGAAGGTACAAGAACACAGGAAGCCCCTAGGGACAAAGGAAACAGAAGAAAATAGCCTGTTTCAGGGGACACTCAATTTTATTTTCAAGAATCTGCAGAGTTTTTTGTGCACATGAAGAATATCTGTGAAAGCTTTTAGAAACAAACAACATACAAAAAGGCAGAGAAACAGCACTGTTCCAGTTAATAGTTAAATTAAATAAACTGCTAACACTACAAGAACTTAAGTTTAATTTTCTAATCATAGGTTTAAGGCAGTGGTTTTCAACCTCTCTTTCATTTGTGGACCCCCTAAACATTTTTGAATGGAGGTGCAGATCCCTTTGGAAATCTTAGACATAGTCTGCAGACTGCTGGG